GAAATAGTTAACCAAATGAAAGTGTACAGGGAAAATATTCTTGACAAGAAAATTGTGGAAAAAATTATAATTAGTGTTCCCCGTAAATATGATCCAATTGTGACAACGATTGAACAAAAAAAAGATCTATCTACCTTATCAGTAACAGAGTTGATGGGGTCACTTGAAGCTTATGAGCAAAGGTTGAATAGGCATGATGAGGACTCAACTAAAAATGCCTTTCAATCAAAGCTCAAATTACAATCTCAAACTAAAGAAAAAAGGAATAATGAAGAAACTTCTAGAAATAAAGAGAATTCTAAAAATTTCTCTAGAAATTATCAAAATGAATATCCTCCATGTAGCATTTACAAGAGGACAAATCATGCCGAGAAAGACTGTCGATATCGTGGAAAGCCACAATGCTGCCACTACAAAAAAAGTTAAGACATGTGGAGAAGTATTACCGCAACAAAAATAAGCATAAAGCAAACTTTGTTGAAGAGAAAGAAGGTGAGCAACATCTTTTCTATGCTAGCCAAGATTCCAATAGTGAAACAAGTGGAAGTTGGTACTTAGATAGCGGTTGTAGCAATCATATGGCCAAAGATGCAAGCATCTTCAAGGATATTGATGAATTCGTCAAAGTGAAAGTCTGAATGCGGAACGACATTGTTGTTGAATCAAAAGGCAAAGGCACAGTTATGGTGGAGACGAAGAAAGATACGAGACTTATTACTGATGTTCTACTAGTTCCCAATCTCAAAGAAAATCTCTTGAACATTGGTCAAATGATGGAGAAAGGTTATACTCTCCATTTCGAAGGAGACACATGTAAAATATATGACAATAAAAAACTAGAGATTGGACGAGTAAAAATGGAAAAAAGGAATAGAAGTTTCCCTATAAGCTTGAGACAAGGCCCTAACATTACCATGAAAGCAAAAGTAGACGACTCATGGCTTTGGCATCAAAGATTTGGCCACTTTAATACACATGCCTTAAAGTTATTATATCAACAAAATATGATGATAGATCTCCCATGCCTAAAACAGAATAGTGAAGCTTGTGAAAGATGTCTCCTTGGCAAGCAACACCGACTGCCGTTTTCAACAGGCAAAGCATGGAGAGCAAAGGACTTGTTGGAGCTGATCCATACAGATATATATGGACCAATGCGGACGTCGTCACTCCATAACAACATGTATTTCATTCTCTTCATAGATATGATTTTTCGAGAATGACTTGGGTCTACTTCATAAAAGCAAAATCAAAAGTCTTTAGTATTTTCAAGAAGTTTAAGACCCTTGTCGAAAAGCAAAATGGCAAACAAATAGAAGTACTTAGAAGTGATCGTGGCAAAGAATACAATTCCCGTGAGTTTAATAAATTCTGCGAAGATGAAGGCATTGAGCGACAACTTATAGTTTCATATTCTCCACAACAAAATGGAGTATCTGAAAGGAAAAATTACACAGTAATGGAGATGGCCAGATCAATGCTCAAGGAGAAAGGATTTACCAAACACGTTTTGGGCTGAAGCAATTTATACTACTATCTACATACTTAATAGATGCCCAACTAAGGTAGTCTAAGATAAGACTCTTATTGAAGCTTGGAGCAGAAAAAAACCATCAACAAAGCACCTAAGGGTATTTGGATCTATTTGCTACATACACGTTCTAGAAGAGAAAAGGCACAAGCTAGAAGACAAGACAGTACGAGATATCTTCCTTAGATATAGCACACAGTCAAAAGGCTACCAAGTCTACAACTTGCAAACCAAGAAGCTAATTATTAGCCAAGATATTGAAGTTGATGAAAATGCGGCTTGGAATTGGAATGGAGAAAGTAGAGAAAACCATTCATATATCAATTCAGCAACCAGAAGAAGAAACAGCAGAAGTCCCAGGTGAGCCTCATTCTCCTCCACAACAACAAACTCCATCACCAGAGTCTACTCCAAGACGAGTTAGATCCTTGGTGGATATATATGAAACCTGCAACTTGGCCATACTTGAACCTGAAAGCTTTGAAGCAACATCAAAGCAACAAGTATGGGTCAAGGCTATGGAAGAAAAGATAAAAATAATTGAGAAAAATAACACATGAGATCTAGTAGACTATCCAAAAGACAAAGATATCATCGGGGTAAAATGGGTTTATAAGACAAAGCTCAATCCAAACGGCACCATACAAAAGCACAAGGCAAGGTTGGTAGCTAAGGGTTATTCACAACAACCTGAAGTTGACTATAATGAGACATTTGCCCCAGTAGCACGCCTAGATACAATTAGAGCTCTAATAACTTTTACAGCACAAAAAGGGTGGAATATTTACCAGTTAGGGCAATGAAGACAAAGTACTAAGGCTTAGAAAAACTTTATATGGTTTGAAGCAAGCTCCTCAGGCATGGTATAGCAGAATAAATCAATACTTCATTGATCATGGATTTAGGAAGAGTAAGAATGAGCCAACACTATACATCAAGACCCAAGGTCAGTATGACACTCTCATCGTCTCCTTGTATGTAGATGATCTTATCTACACAAGGAACAATATGAAGATGATGACAGAATTCAAAGAAGACATGATGTAGACATTTGAAATGACGAACCTTGGCTTGATGAACTACTTCCTTGGTATAGAGGTAAGTCAAAAGAAGAAAGGGATATTCATTTGTCAAAAGAAATACACTGAAGTTCTCTTGAAGAAGTTCAAGATGAGTGGTTGCAAGACTGTCACTACTCCACTTGTGATAAAGGAGAAGCTACAAAAAGATGATGGAGCACCAGATGCTGATGCATCTCACTACAAAAGTTTGATTGGAAGCTTACTATATTTAACAGCCACATGACCAGACATAATGTATGCTATAAGTCTTTTATCAAGGTTTATGCAAAGCCCAAGCCAAATTCACTTTGGAGCAACTAAAAGAATTCTAAGATATCTACAAGGCACGAAGGAGTTTGGTATTTAGTACAAAACAATGACCAACTCAAGTTTCCTTGGATACACCGACAGTGATTGGGTAGGATCGGTAGATGATATGAAGAGCACCTCTAGTTATGTCTTCTCACTTGGATCAGGAATATTTTCTTGGGCATCAAAAAAGCAAGCAACAGTTGCATAATCAACCGCAGAGGCAGAATATGTTGCAGCAGCTAAAGCTACAAGTCAAGCAATTTGGCTACGAAGAATACGTGCAGAAATGGGAGAACAACAAGATGGGCCTACTACAATCTATTGCGATAATAAATCAGCAATAACAATGACAAAAAATCCAGTACATCATAGCAGGACAAAACACACTGCAATTAAATATCACTTTATCAAAGAAGCAGAAACAACTAAAGAAATCAAGATGGAGTATTGTAAGACCGAAGAGCAAGTTACTGACATATTCACAAAGGCACTGTCGAGAAGTAGATTCGAACAGTTTCGCACTATGATAGGAGTTAGAGAAATTTGTATCAAGGAAGAGTGTTAAAATGTGATACAAACTTCTAGAATAAGCTAGATTATTCTAGAAAAATACATAAGTATATGCTAGTAACTACTTGATACAAATTCTATAATAATGTAGATAATTACATATAGATAAAAAAAAACTCTATAGAATAGATATCTCTAGAATTTTCTACATAAAACATGAATGGTAGTGTTGAAGCCTATAAATAGGCCATGTACCCAATATTTGTGATTAAGCAACTAGTAAGTCATTTCCACTACTCAAATCTATTTCAACTATTCTTCTAAGCTAGTTTTCCTCTCAACTAAACCTATCATTATAAATTTGCCTCCCCAATATTCTTTCTACAAATCAAATAAGTTTTTACTATTTGATAATTCATAAACTAACAGTGATGGATCAAAGGTTGGTCTTGTTCCTCACTCATTCATCATGTCAAATGGAAAAAGGCTCGGTAAAAGAAGTTCGTAGAGTACACATTTAAGGAAAATAAAAAATTGAAAACAGTTTCAAAATCTTTTAATTATATATGTTCAGGTGATTTCTCATGATTATTTCACCTCTGTTAAGGGAAATATAAATTATCTCATTTCATTAATGACTCGTAGTCAAGAACATGGCACATTAGCAAACTAGTAGACAACATTGGACTTGGAAACTGCATTCATGAACTCCTCATCTGACTCATGAACTCGTACCCTTGAACAATCATGATTGATAAGTCATTGATTTCTTCTATGACAGCCACTATAAGATCAAATTTTTTACTCAAACTAATAACAATTTTATCAACAATTCTTCAATCATCAATTGTATCTCTAAGAGAATTCATTTGATTTATCAATTCAAGCAATCTATTGAAGTATTCTTTATTCAAACTTTCCTTTTCTTTCATTTTTCATTCTCAAAATCTCTTTAAAGAAACTGGAGTTTGATTATCCTCAACTTTGAATCTCCTTAACTCTTGTTGAAGAGTTTCCCATGCTTCCTTTGCTATTTTTGCTCTCATGATCCTTGGAAATATGGCCAATGAGTCTCCTTTCTAAATCATCCCAAGAACTCCAACATTTGTGATTTTCTTTTTCTACAAATGTTGAGTGTTTGTAGTTGTAGTGGCTTGATCTTCATACCCTATTTATATTAACTCTCCGACATCCAAAGAGGTAAACAAAGTCTCCATTTTATAACAAAAAAATCATAATTTTCTCCTTTGCATAGGAACTTGGACATTGCTATAAATTGTATTGTTAACTATTATAGTGTTGTTTGTGACCATAGTTCTTTATTGTGTTTTGCTACGGAACTTGGACATTGCTATAAATTGTATTGTTAACTATTATAGTGTTGTTTGTGACCATAGTTCTTTATTGTGTTTTGCTACAAGGATCTACAACTCTAATACCACTTTGTTAGTTGTACTCCAAAGGTGATGTTAATATCTAATATTCAAGAAATTTACTTTCTACATGATTGTGTATAAAAAATTTAAAATAAGAAAGAGATAATTTAAGATTGAATTTTTCTCAATTTTTTTTATTTTTTTTTACACATTTCATACCATATATTCATAGACATTTATAGATTAAAAATTACAATTAGAATAATATAACAATTACAAATGTAAATAGTCATAATGTTATAACAATACAAATGTAAATAGTCACATAAATACTACTAAATATAACTTATGAGAGGAGGAATAACATTATATTATAATAACAATTCACACTTATGATAGCATATTACTCAACAAGATTAGACACCGAAACTGCATTCATAAACTCCATGTCTGATTCCAGCTCGCTCATTGTATGTGGCAAAAGGCACACTTCCAAATCAATGCTTCCTCCTCCTTCACGACCTGGGTATGATGTTACTTTCCCATCAAATTTGTTGGCATAGCCACTTCTAACGGCTAATGCTTTTCCCATTCCAAATTCATTCCCATACATGTTGAACCTCGGCGAGCTACTAATCAAGACACAGTACGGGTGACCAATTTGTTGTATCAAAGGAGACCGTAACCACTCTTGGAACGATTGCATCACCAATCTGTCGTTGTAGTTTGTAACAGCCAAGTGCAACTTCCATGCTGCCCATCCTAGTTCATTCTCAAGCAATTCTCCTGACGTCGTTTCAGCACTCACCCTACCAACCGAGTTTCCAAAGTATTCGTGAGGAAGAGGTGGTTCCATTCTTGATCGATTGTTTGTGACTAACTTGCAACTTATTTTCTGATCAAATGGCAAGTGGAGTGCGCGAGTTATGCATCTCCAAACATGTGCTGACAAGGATTGGAATGAAGAGATTTTGGTGGTATTGGACTCCATGTTGGCCTTTGCTTTTAGTTTCGCAATAGACTCTGCTGAAAAGTGGAAGATTCTCTCTCTCAGCAAGGGTGCTTCGAATCTTCTAATAAACTCGTCATGATGTTTAAAAGGAAGATTGATTGGTGGACTGCAATCATTTGGAAACCAGCGATTGTGAATGGGATGGTGCGAAATGGGAACATTATATTCATTCCCTTGAGCTTGAGCTTGAAAGATCTCAGACCATGTATTGAAGAAATTCCAATAAGAAGTGCCATCGCCAATAGCGTGGTTCATGGAACAACCTAGGAAAACACCATCGACTAGTTCAGTGACTTGGATGGACAAGAGTGGCATGGTGTGACCATCATGGTTGACTGCTTTGTGGTGGTCAATGAAAGAGTGAAGAATGGGTGGAACATCAATGGGAGAGAGTATGTCAGATATGGTCATATCCAACGTTGCATAGATGAATCTAGCTCCATCACTGTTGTTGCAATCAACAGAAACAGCATAAGAAGGAGGGTGTTGGGTTTTGTGGGTGACAAGGCGACCAGCCAATGGATAGAAGTGGAAGAGGGTGAGAGAAAGAGATTGCTTGAGTTTGTCCAACAGATTCTCAATGAAATCATGTTGATGAACAAGTGTTGCTGGTTTCTTGAAGAGTAGACCCTTTTGGATATAGTGTATGGACAATTTAGCAATATCCCAAGCTGTTAGATAGCATGTTTGCTTCGACACTTGGGTTGGATGATGTGGCTTGACGAAGCATTCTGAAATGCGTTGAACGGCAGGGATACTCATTATGCAGATAGTCACACACGATTTAGATTTGTGTTGCAGAGAACATAGAGAAGTAGTATTTAACTATTTCCATTGTGAACTTTGAATCAAGAAATCTTTACCCTTAGCACAAATAAATAATATTATGTTATTAACCACGATACAACAACGCCAGCTGGATACAATAAATAATAAATAATAGAATAAATTATAGTGACATCAAGTTTTTGAAATTGTATTATCACTTTATTTTTTATGGGTTACACTAACTTCTCTTTTGAGAGTCACAATGTAATGTTTTATAAATAAAGAGATTTTACTGTTCTGTCAAGCTTCAGATGATCAAGCTCGCTTGGTGGCATCAGTTTTGGAGGCGTTTTCGCGATCATCAGGACTGAGGGTCAATTTGTCTAAGTCTAAGTTTGTGAGCTCGAGAAGGGTTCCACAGAGGAGAATTGACATACTGGGGGGTTGGCTTGGGATTGGCCACACGGCTCGAATAGGGAAGTATTTGGGGGTTCCCATGGCGCATGGTCAGCCAAGGTGCGCCGATTTTTATGATGTGATGGATAAGATTCAGGGTAGACTTGCGACTTGGAAGTCCAAGCTTCTTAATAAGGCAGGGAAGTTGTGTCTGGTGAAGTCCATCATCTCCTCTATTCCAGATTATAGCATGCAAACACTGTGGCTTCCTCAAGCAGTGTGTACTAGAATTGATCAAGCTTGTCGACATATGCTCTGGGCAAATTCTGACAACACACGGTTCTGGTCTCCGGTGAGTTGGGATGTTGTGACTCAACCCACAAAGTTCGGTGGTCTTGGTGTTAGGGAAGCGCGCAGGGTGAATGTTTCACTCTTGGGGAAGGAAGGGTCTAAGACGAGCCACAAGCACTTTAGAAATAACCTTCCAAGCAACGTTGCATAAGCTAATTGGACGAAATTCTTTGAGGCTCACCGGGTGGTCCACCTTCGGAATTAACACCATCTGTGTCTCCAAGAGTGAACTGTCTGAGAACCCCAAACGAAAGGCATCCTTCACTGTGCGCCATAGTTCATCTCCCACAATAGGCCAATACTTCTTGAAAAAGAACATTCTACCTTATGAGATTTGAAGCAGTTGTTTTATACATGAAATATGTTATTAAACTATGAAAGATTTTATTTACTCAAAAAGAAAAAGAAATTATTGTTTACATTTATTGTGTATTAACGTTGGGGTAGAGGGTGTCACAGCTTCTAATATAGTAGTGACCTTAGGTTAACAAATCTTTGGAAGATTATCCAAGATCTTGAGATTGTTCTAAGATATAGAGAACTGAGTTCCTAGGGATTTTAGCTCATTAAGAATAGTTTGAAATCTTTAAAACATTTCATCAATGATTTTGTTCTCTTTCATAAGGAAAAATTCATAGTTTCTTTGATTAGTAGCAACTCGTCAACTAAGCCTAACATCTTTAGTGCTCTCATGAGTTACCCTGATGGCTTTTCACATTTCTTAGGCAATTTCGTAGTTGCAAAACTTGTTGTCACTACAAGAAAAATTGTTATTATCTATTGAATATTACCTACAGAATTTTTTCCATAGATAATATTTAGTTATCTACGAAATATTACCTACGGAATTTTTTTCGTAGATAAGTTTTAGTTATCTTTGGAATATTACGTACAAATTTTTTTTCATAGATAACCCACGAAAGTTGTTATCTCCGAAAAATTTCATAAGTAATGTTACCTACGGAATTTTCTATAGATAACCCACGAAAGGTGTTATCTACGGAATTTTTCATAGGTAACGTTACCTATGAAATTTTCCGTAAATAACCCACGAAAGTTGTTAGCTATGGAATTTTTCATAAGTAACGTTACCTACGGAATTTTTCATAAATAACACACGAATAATAATAATAATAATAATAATAATAATAAGTTTCATGTGTTATCTACGGAAAATTCCGTAGGTAACATTACTTATGGAATATTTCGTGGATAACCCACGAATAATAATAATAATAATAATAATAATAATAAGTCTCGTGTGTTATCTACGGAAATTTCTGTAGGTAACGTTACCTACGGAATTTTTCGTAGATAACCCACGAATAATAATAATAACAATAATAATAATAATAATAATAATAATAATAATAATAGTATAAGTATGAGATTGTATAGTTGAGGATGACTTAAATGAATTAATTTGTACTACATATACTAATAACATGCATTTGCTTTTCGGTAGCTTATCTCATCAGAACTCCACAGTTTAATGTGCTTGACTTGAAGTAATATAGGGATGGTTAATCTTCTGGAAAGTTTCCCAGAAAATGTGCAGTAAGGACAAAACACGTTGAAAAGTAAAGTGTCATGAAATAACATCCTTGAGAGGCCAAATATGAGGATTGTTACATTTTTATATTTAATATTATCAATTTATTTTTCTAAAATTATAAATATATTTTAATTAATACATAAATTAATCACATATTAATTGATTAATTATTACTGATTAATTTAATTTTATAATAATATTTTTATATAATTTAATTTATATAAATCATATTTTATATTTATATACATTAAAAAAATTGATGTCCTCTAAAAATAGGTTGCCCACCCTAACCGTGTTTTTGATCCGCCATCGGCGATACAACGAATCTAATATTACATTAGTCGTTAAAGTTGTAAATTTATAATGGCGTTTCTGCATCATATCCGAAAAAGATGGGTGGAGTTAGGGATGACAAAAATATTCGCACTCGCAGGTATCTGTAAGTAAAATCTACTATGGATAATAAATAGATAGGCTAATTGGGTACCCGCGAATAATGGGGATGGATAATATTTTTATTATTATTTCAACAGAATTAACGTTAAATACAAGTTCAAAATTAACATTGAAATTTTATTTTTAATATTTCAATGATATTAAATATATAAACTTAAAATTATTTGTAATATAATTTTTTTAATTTCTTAAAAAATTAATAAATATTCATGGATATCTGTGAGTATTCAAGAAATTCATGGATACCTGCTCAATAGATACCCGTGTGAATATGGAGTGGGTATGGGACCAATTTTCATTCAACAAGACGGAGACGAATTTACTATTACCCGCCCTCATAAAGCCTCATTGCCATCCCTAGGTGGAGTATCACTGTTCTTCTATTTAATTTCACCATTTGATATATCATTACTATATATATGGTAATATAACATTAATGATACCACAAAATAATGCTTAAAATAATGACAAGGTCCACAAAGCACCAATGCGGAAAATTAACCTTGTGACCGCCTCAATCGTCACACAAAATTATATTTTCCTTGTTCTCTTCAATTAAAAAGTTATACTTCAGTAATATACATATAATAGATAAAGAATGATTTAAACGATATCGGTATAATTTTTACTAAGTATTATACTATTCAATCACTTTATATTAAATGTGAATTTTATAAATTTAATTGTTAGATTGAAAGTTCATATCACTTTATATGTTTATATCAACTTTTGTTAAAATTAAATAACAACTTGAAGGCAATCAAATTGTTCATATTTTATTATATTTTGAAATATATATATTACGTCAATTTTGTTTTATAAGAATGAAGTATTAAATCATCTTTGATTAATATAAAATTTTGTTTATATGATTTAAGAGTAAAAAACTTTCAATTTAACGGTTGGATTTATAAAATTCACATTTAATATAAAATTATTAAGCAGTGTAATACTTAGTAAAAGTTATACCGGTGTCGTTTGAACCCTCTTCATATATATATAAGAAAAATGCATACAAAAAGTTATATTTCCGATGAAAAAAAAATTCATAGGAAAAGTTATATTACCGATGGATACAAATCTGTTAAAAAATCACTACTAGAATTTCTTATTACATGTGACTTTTCTTGTGAATTTTTATGAAAAATTCGCAAGAAACGTTGTTCCTATAAATTTTACTGCGAAATTTTATCTGCAGGTAATACTTTCGTGGATAATATATTTTTGCGAATTTTAAAATTCGCAGGAAAGTTTCCTGCAAATTTTTCGCAAAAAATTCTGCAGGAATATTTTTTATGAAAAAAAATTAAAGAAATTACTATAAATTCTATCAATAATTTTTTAACTTTCAAATGCTCACAATGAATTCATCCGAAGCATTTATTTTCATGCCTCTATGTGATAGATAATCTTTTAAATTCTAAGATTGTAGATTATAAGCCTAACACTCAACCATACAAATCAACTTATAAGGTAAGTGTTGCCCCAACTTATATACTCTTTAATTGTTTTATTTTCAATCGATGTGGGACTTGAAGTTTTTTTTAAAATATTAAACTTATAAATTTAAATATTTTTTTATTTTTCCTGCAAATTAAAATTTGTAGGAAAATCCGCAAGAAAAGTTACTTGCAAAATATTTCTACCATTTAGTAAACATTAATTACGAATTTATTTTTGCAAGAAAATCTACAAGAAACAAAATAAAATTCTTACAATATTTTCTGCAAATTTTTACCATGGAAAGAATTTTCTATGATCATTAAAATTGTAGCAAAATTTGTAAGAAATATTTGTAAATTATTTTTCAAAAATAAATTCACAAATAAATTCTGCGAATATTTTTTTGCAAGAAAATGACATTTTTCTAGTAGTGAATTTATATTTCTGACAGATTTTACTGATGGATAATTTTTTACGAGTATAAATCTGTCAAAAAATTTATATTTCCAATGGAAAAAATATTGTAAGAAAAGTTATATTACCGATGAAATATTTTTGATGAATTTATATTTGACGAAATTGTAAGAATTTATGACAAATGTTTTTGACAGTTACTTAAGTCAAAATTTTTCGACAAAATGTTACTAACGAATAATAGTTCGTCAAAAATTTGATCTGTCAAAAATGTTTAATAATCTATCAGAAATTGTATTCATCAGAAATATATTTAATATTCTATTCGGTAACAATAAAAATGATTAAGATTGACAATCATATATTAAAAAAGATCAATAAAATTTTAAATATATATATATTCCAATAAATTTTTATCTAAAAAAGACTAATAAATTATATATATATATATATATATAT